GTTCATCCGTCTTACAGGGCTGAGTTACGACCAGTTGTCAACTGATGATTGAAAGTCAAAAGTAACTAGCGATTACAGTGGTCTTTGTTTTGCTTCCCTACTCTGTTCACATTCGCAACAATCAGATGACAAATTGAAATCAATCGTGACCTGTCCATTCACCTCCTACATCACTTTTTTTTTCTTTGGAATATAATTTTTAATTTTCCTTGAATGTCAATTTCGTTTTTACGACATTCACAAAGCGACCCAAGATAGCGGACTGATAGGAGAGATTGAAAGAATTGTTGCCGTGTTCAATTTTGATTAGTGCAAGATACAGAGAGTTGAAAGAGGCCAAGAACTAGTCCGAAATGTTGCAGCGATGAAAAATATTTTAAACAAACGTCTCATTAGCATTTTTTATTGAAAATGCTCTGATGTCTGTGACGACAGGTTTACACTCGACGAACAATTAATGTGACTGATGACCACAAGTTTGGTGATTCGCTTGTTGGAGTTATCGCTTTCCAGTGGATAAACTCCAGGCAATAGGAAAGATTTAGACCATCCAGAACAGAACAGGTGGGTTAAATAAGTTTTTGTTTTTTTAATGACGAGTCAGTGTAGTTTCTCATTGAAAAAAATACATATATTTTCTAAGACGTATCAGTAAAATGAGGGCAGCAATGGGGTAGCCGAGACATCAGACTGAGAGGGAATGAATCTCTTCGAATATATGATAAGTGAAAATCAGGCTAAGTTTGATAAAATATTAAAAACATTGGGAGCTTATAATGTTTTTATCGCCTGCCACAACACACCGTTAGAAATAGTTTCTGAACAGTTTTTCTTTAGCTATTTTTCACACGTCACCATGCAAAATGTAGCATTTCATTTCATCTTTTCCCCGAAGTCAGCAAACAAACTCCCATTAGTCCTGAGACTCGTGTTTGATATTTGAACTAACAAATCATGGACTGTTTGTTTCAATAAGCAAGTCCGACACAATGATGAGAATCCTTTACAAAGAAATAATTACTTGATATCTATCTCTAAACTTATGCTGATATAAGCGACAGTGACATGAAATTTTTGTGGTTTACAAAAACTTGTCGAGTGTTCGATTTTAACTTGTGCAAAATAGATAGAACGGCCAGTTTGATTGAAAAATACAATGAATAAGGTATTGACATTTCAGAAAATTGTCCCTTTCTTATTGAAGAGATTTAGGCCCAAGAGGACGACAAATGAATCGTAAAAGAACTCTCTGTGTCTTCAGTGTCAGCCCTTTGAGCAGTACAAGTCGATTCTTTTTTTTTTCAACGTTTTTTTATCATTTGCAATTAACAGGAGAGAATTTTCTATTATCCTGATTTGTCTACTTTTAAGTGGATAAACCCTTAAAAGCATTAACAGAGGCAAGAGCAAAAACAGAGCTTCAGTGGATCACAGTTTCTCTAATATTCTTTTCTATATATATCGCCGAAGCAAAACATCAACTAAGTGGCAGACAAAAGAGTGTCGGATAAGAAGTGCTATTTCATTAGCGCGCACTACTCCGGCGTAATGAAATGTTGCTCTAAACCCCAACAGGATTAGACTACGAGCAGTCCTTCCTTTACGGCAAAGTCCGTCGCGCGAGTAAAGAATTTAGCGAAAAAAATTGAGGTTGGCCCAACGTGTGAAAGTCTGAGAGCTTCACTTAAACAGTACTGAGAAAAACCTCCAGAGTGCTGTTATGGAGTGAAATCCTTGTTACTTTGTTGATTCATGCAAACTTTTCTTATTGTTTCAACCGTGCCTGTGCTCGATAAGCTCGATACAGATGGATAAATTTAGTAAAAGCGCGGATAGTAAAAGAAGTTTGGAGACAACTTGCTCTTCAAAACAAAATATCGAGTCTAGCGATATATGATTTGTTTTGCCTAGACTAGTTCAGAACTGCGGGTGAACCGGAGATTTCGGTTAAAAAATGAGGAAATAAAACTCTGTCAATATGCTCATCGCTATCTGTTTTGTACACAGTTACGATAGGGTCTCAGTGGGCTGATGGGTCTTCCGATTAATTTCTTTCCGCTACAATTAATAGGAAAAATTTTAAGGTTAACTTTTTTTTAACGACTAACGGTTAAAATTTGAGACCCTCTTGAGAAGGTAGACTAGGGTTTTAGGGGATTGTCTTCCTGGTCAACTGTGCATTACTATAGGTTCAGCGCAAACCCCCTCCCCTTCCCTCTGGCAGGGTTTGCTCAGCTTTCGCCCTAAAAGCCTGTTACCAACAAAAATAGAAAAATGAAACGGGAAACGAGTGGTAACCCATTTATTCATGGTTTGTGCGCCATTATAATGTACATTTGTTGATAGCCAATTGGATGTTTACCTCCTGCCACTGAGGATTTGATTATGTTTTGTCTGATTTGAGTTACCTCTTCACAAATACTTTGATTGAATTCGAAGAGCTTTCAAGATAGTCGAGGAAAGTTGAGAAAATACGCTGAAGTTTATACAATGAGGCCACAATATTAAGCAAAATCGACCAGGTATGTTTTACCAAATAACATTGTTTCAATCATAGGACCGTTTCCGTGTAAATCAATTTCATGGCTAAATTTACATATAACTCAACGTCACAAAAACTAATGACACAAGAATTTCGAAGATTGATGGGCAAAGTTTAAACTCAGTAAGAGGAAGGTCATTTAAAAAAGCAAAAGAAATTTGTGCTGTATTTTTGAAAAGAAGGATCGTGTAAACTCACGTACCGTTTCTGGTTAACCCCCCTTAATCGCCACAAATATGCCTTTCACATCGTTATTGCTTTGTTGTGAGTCGGATGAAAGATTTTAAAAACCCATTCCTACCTTTTATTCATTCATTTGACTTTGCAAATATCTTTGTTCGCTGATTATATGAATGGAAAAACGAGGGAACAGTAAGGGAAAGTCATGGCGTTGGCCGGTATTTATCGGGCTATTTTTAGCTTTGGGCGGAAAGGGAAGTCTTACTCCTGACGTCTGCATCGTTGTTTCCTAAAGAAGTTTATTATTTCCGAATTTCAATTCAAGAAACCGATATCTTCGCTGTTCGCCAATTTATCGATGTAACTCGCAGGCGATCAAGGCTCACTGAAAGAGGACGGAGGTTTTTCATTTAGCGTGAGTTAAAGGCAGCATATGTATGCAAAACGTAAAGCGATTTGCAATAACGCAATTAAATTATAACCGTATGAATTCCCGTCCCATTATTTTCTTTTGATGAATACTGTTTGGTTGTCCACTGGATATTTCGTTCAGGGTGGATTCCAGCGTTTAGTACCATGTCTTCAAGCTCAATCTACGCTCCTACACTAATTCTCTTGTCCTCTTTGGTGTTTATCACTAACTGTCCGAGAGGGAAGTAAATAGGATTATATAATAAGTGCTTCATTTACCTTTTTTTCGGTCAGGCACCCAACCTCTAAAAGCGCCCACCCTTTAGATAGCTAATTTTAAGTTAAAGAGCGCTCAGCTTCGAATAATCTGGAGTGCACCAGAGGAGTATTATTTACTTTACTGGCTCGCAATCTCTAAATTCACTTTCCCATGAACATCTTCAAGTTCTGTTATTATCTATAGTTTTGCTGCAAAATAAACTTTTTATTAGAAGAAAATGGTGAAAATTGAAGAGGCACTCAGCCTCGAATAAGCGCCTACTCTCACGGTTCAGAACTTTAACAACCGTTCAGGGCATTTAATCGAATAAGTTCGGTAGCAACAAGAGACGTCCAAACGGCCCAGTATAGTTAATGAATACAGCAAAGAGCTCTCATTTACCTTTGAAGAACTGTCAAAAACATGATGTCATCATTTGATAGAGCGAATGCTAACGATTTGATGTTCTTTTTGTCATGTATATGAAGACGGCAGTTTTTGCTTGAGTAAATAGATCAAAATATCTTAGTACATCACGTACAGTAGCTGTATAGTGGAATAAAATAGGTCTTCTAAGATGAAGAAATGAGCAAATTTTATCCTATGGATATCGAAGATAGCGTTGAATGGTAATTTTGTTGAGGCTACATTTCGATTCACCGTATCGCGCATGTGTTAATAAGGTATTTTTACTTCTCTTTCTGTGAGGCGGAAGGACATGTCAATGTTATCAAAAATAGAGAAAAATTATTGGAATTCTTAATAAGGTTGGTACTACTTTCATTGTTCTCTAGAAGGATGTCTTTAACTTGAAAAGAATAAGCTTATAATTTTCCAAATGGTTTTTATTTTTCTCCGTACACATAATACGCTGTCAGTTTTCATTAAACCTCTATCGTTAACTTGGTTTCTAGCTTTGATGTAGCGTCAAGTTTAACTGGCAATGTCAGCTTTACTTGCTTTTCCTATTTCCCTATTCATTATTAAAATGAGCCCACCACTTGGCTGTATGTGGAAAAAATCTAATTTAAATTTCATCCCTAGTTTTATTTACAGTTTCTGAAATGATCAGAAAGGTAGCGAAATATAAGCAGCTCTGTGTGAGTTATACTAAACAATGATTTCGTTTTAAATGAAATTACTTTTGGTATTATGTCTTTGAATGGGGCCTTTTAGCCATACAAGAAAAGCGCCTGTGACAATCTAAGGATATTTGCCTTAGTGACCAGAAGAACCCCTCTTATTTACATGAATTTTTTATTTAGAGTAACGGCAGATGGTACATGTTATTCAAATTGCTTTAGGAGCAGAGCGCCGGATCAGACAGTTATACCCAGAAATTAGCAGTCACAGTTTTTTTCTTGTGAAACAAACAAAGTTTTACACCTTTCCCGAAGATCTCAGAAGAAGCCCACACATATCTGAACTTATCGGTGCTGCTTGTAACACTGGATCCTTGGACATCCGGGGTAAATGTTACAAAACAGATCAAGTTCTGTTTTTGGATTTTCATCAGTTTGTTATCATGGATATTGCCGGCATAGCCACAGATTAAATTATTTTCTTTTCTTGTATAATAATATTTTTTTGTATTTATTTTAGATCTCCAGAAGCATTATCTACTCTGATGAAAAATGGTCTTAACCGAGATGAATTTAACTCTTACATCAATGTTGGTAAGACTTTTTGTGTGATACAAAACAGGTCGTTTGAAACAATTTTTCCTTATTATTGTAGCAGTTGACGGCAGCTGTTACAAAGAGTCTGATTAATGCTTTCAATTGCCAGGAAAATGCACAATTTTTGTCGTTTCCTGTGCTTAGTTAATTTTTGGCGGTATATTGCACAATGATTTATTACAGCTATAGAGAAGTTGTCGCTTTTTTAGAATCTTGTTTAAGCAGGATATATAGAATCTATATATATATATAGACGTATTCTTCCGAAATGGAAAATTATTATTAAAGCGAAGAGATGCCAAAACAATTGATTTGAGAAAGACACCAAAATGGACACCAAAAAAGAAATGGAAAACAAATGCCAGTGGATAACAAGGATTAAAAGGGATTGCAGATGAACAATTTGAAAATCTAGCTCATTTGTGCGGAGGTTTAAAAACACCAATGTTGATCTGTAGATCATGTTATCGCGGAGAGTTTTTGAAATACACTTCAAGCTTTTAACACCACACTTCATTCGGCCCACGCACTCTTCTCAAAGTTTCACAAAACTGAATTTGAATTGAGAAGTAAATACAATGAAGTTTTCTTTGAGCCATTTGGGTGTAGCCCTAATTACTTTTCGTAGACTCGATGTCTCCTGATTAAGTTACATAACAGCAGGTACACTGCTGAGTGAACATATTCGACACTCACTGGAAGTAGGAGCTCCGGAAAATTTAAGTATACCAACAGAAAAAATTCTTAATAAAGAAAAAGAAAACAAAACAAACAAAACAAGTAAAAAATTTGAGTAAAACAAAACATAAATAAGAAAGAGGGTGTCGATCTTAGGAGAACTTAACCATGCTTAAAGCAAAGAGTCCCACCAAGTTTTCTACAGTTCTGACTTCTTCATTTAGTTTCCTTTCAAAAAATATCCAGAATTTTAAGCCTCCCAGAAAAACTATCACGTCGTCAACTCTTTTCGCCGACTAAAAATTTCGCATTTTGTTGGCCTAAAATGCATTTTAGCCTTTTTACTCGCGTGATCGTTTATAGGCTGTTTTGCTGTAACAGCACTTTGCTGTTGGACATAAATATGCTTTGGGCACTGAGTCGAGCTCTAAACTTACTAATGCACGCTAACATAGACTATATTGTTTTATTACAGTCAAATTTGTTACTTATCCTCTTAAAAAAAAAACAAAAGTTAAATTACTCTGGCTTAACGGTTTGCGTGCGGGACTATAAGTTTGATTTAATTTTTTCTCGAAAGGGAACATTATTTTGCCTGCTAGGACTCTTAGCGTTCCCTGCTGCGGAACCAAGTACTAACGCTGCTCTGACACCTAAATTTCGCTCGAATTCTGCTCTGCGTACCGAAAACGGAACCTAGCTTTGAGTCTCATGATTTGCAGAAACTTACAAACAGACACACAAGGGACAAAGACAAACCTTTATAACAATATTTACGTATTCATCATCATATTCAAATGTTGATTCTTCTTACTTTGGACAAGATCTCTTATGAAATATTCAAGATAGAATACGTGCTCTCATTAATTTGGTCTAAGGGTGTATTGATATAAGAGTATGTAAACACGGTTGTCAGGTCACACTTTCTATTCTCTCTTCTCAAAAATATTTTATAAAATTAAAGCAATGGTAGATTAAAAAAAATTAAGGTTTGGGAAAGTCATGTAAACCCATGAAAGTTACATAACTCCTCGAATTTTCCCAACCCTCCTAGAGTTTAGATGAGGCTATGCAAAAGTCCTCTGTTGCGCGAATATCAATCGAGATATCGTTTGATGTAAAGGAATTATGCAAGCATATCTTAGCTAATGGTCATATCGGTTTCAACTCGTCTCCCATTTGCTTTGTACTTGGGTTTAAAACTTTTCATCCAACTACCGAACAAAAATCACTGATGTAAAGAAATTTTCAGTTTTACTTTACTGTTCAATAGATGCCGCAAAAATACCTCACATAGCTAACAGAACGCTCATGTCGAAAAATTGCGACTTTTTATATTGGAAATTCTGTAAGCGTAACTTAACGTGGGCTCCGTGATTAATTCATTGCGATTCTAACACCACATATTTTTAATTAAACGCCCACCTTGAATGAGCATCCACTTCCCAACTGACCTTAGAAACAATGAAATTCTATTATTAACTGAATAAAAGCCATCAAGATATCTCACCTAATACCGAAATTTCTTATAAATTTAAATAAACTTCTAAAGGAATGGTTAAATTCTATTTTGCGACATTCTCACGTTATGTTAGTACTTCTGGTTTAGTTGCAAAATAAACTCACTATTTCTTGAAAATGGCGTAAATTTAGTCAGCGTACAGCCTCAAATATAAGCACCCACCACAACAAAGCGCCCACTTTCAAGATCTAAAATTTTAAAAAGCCCGCAGGGCTCGATTGAATAAATGCGGTATATCATTAAACATCATTTCAAATTCGAGAGCAAGAAACAGTCAGCTTTTGTAACAGACAGCTGTTATGTCGGATAAAAAAAAACTTTTTTTTATCTTTTTCTATGTAGATTCTTTTGTGCGTTGTCAAATTTAGTCCCGGCGGAAAAGGAATGTTTATATCCGAGACAGACTTCAAGACGGAGAATGAAGGTTGGTATGTTCCCTCAATATCATTCAGGTTTTTCTGTCTATTTTTTTAGTTAGACCTCATAGGTGGTAAGATATGATATTTATATTTAAGGTAATTAGTTCAAGTGGTGGGCCGGTAGTTGACAGACCACAGGGAAGACAATATTGAACTCCAGGAATCGTTCTATCAGCGCTCTCTTTATCAAAATTTTGAAAAGTGAAGTATAATTTCGTATATAGCCACTGTTTCAAATTGAAGCAATTGGCTACTTTCTTGTGATTTTCTTGGGTTTCATTGCTATTATAAAGCAAGAACTTTCTTCGAAGAATTAAACCAGATCGTAAATTATAAAGGTTTCATACCGAGTGGCAACCATTGATATCGAAAGATTCATCAGAAATAGGAAACCTAAGTTGAGTGCTCCCTAAATTAGAATATAGTGGTTTGTTCTGTGGAAAACATCAGATGGGGGATGTAATATAAGCATCCCCTATTCGTTTTCTTTTTCTTCCTTATCGATTACGGTGTCCGTTTATCCTTCCTTCTGTCCGTTCGAACCTATTTAGGTCTGTCTGTTTGTGTGGCCCGCAACTCTTTCTCTCTTCCTTACTCTTTGCCGCAGGATCAGAGTTAAAATGACTTAATTTAGGATTCGTTTTGAGTGTATTTTAAAGCCGACCAATGTACTTTTTTTGAAAGTTTCCATTATTTGACAGAGCGAGCACCGAGGAAGACTAGGGCAGAGCCTGAATCCGAACCTGAAAGCGAACCTGAAGCGGAAGGAGAATCCAAAGCAGAAGGAGAACCCAGTAGTGAAAATCACTCATACACGGAGCCTACCTCAGAATATCCAGAAGGAGAAACTGAACCGTCGCCAACGCCGGAAAATTGGCCAGAACCAGGCCCCCGTTGGGAACAAGCATACGAGACGTGGAGATGGGCCTGGGAGCTACATGTTTACCTTTACGCGACGATATACCTTTTGATTGGCTTGTACGCCGGATATTACGTCATAGCTAACGTTTATGACGGTCTGCAAGGAAAATACCTGAGCGTGAGCCTCAATATCATGGTGTCGATGTTTGGGTTCACAAGGGCCCTTGTCATGTTTTTGGACCCATATCATCAAGGGGGTATAATTCACAACACTGCGGTGATGCGCGTGATTTGGTCCCTCGCAGGCCCTTGTCTCACGGCCTCCGACAGTTTGATGATTCTTGCCCTGATAGAGACGGCAAAAATCTCCGTTGCACCTCCTAAGCTTCAGAAAGCAAGCACAAACATTATTATCATAAGCTTTCATTTTGCACTTGTAATAACTACAGACTGTGTAGTTGCCGACTATGTGGAAGCGAAAGTTATGTTGTTATTTTGTCAGTTGTTTTTTGTTACGTGGGGTTTTGTGCTTGGAACTATAAACTTTATCCTTGGATACAAACTGGATAAACAACTTTTCAGTCACAAAAAACCAAAAGAAACAGCGGACAAAATATACATTTATCTTATTTACGCCTCCGGCCTAGCAAACTACTTTTTATGCGCAATCATTGTTTATTCAGCGTGCGGAGTATTTGGTGTTTATTCGGATGTTCAATTTGTAGATGCATGGCCTTGGTGGGCCTTGCAAACGATGTCTCGCTTCAGCGAGATCCTCGCGTGTGTCTTGATATTCACAGTTAGTGCTAAAAGGACCCGAGTGAAAAAGGCAGTCGCTCAGTTAACGGATGAAAAAAGCTTAGACACAATCATCCCGGGAGGAATCGGTTCTACGCAATCTTTATCGTGGTCTTCAAGATTCAGAAATTGCTTCAAGCGTAAAAAAGTCGCCGCTGACAGAAACAGTGGGAGTGCAATAAGCCTATTCACAGCTCTCCGTGAAATGGCTCTGGCTGCGACCGGTGAGAACTGGTACGGGACAAATCTGGATCCCCCAATAAAAGATAATGGGGAATGTTGGGTAGAAACAAAAACGACTTCGTCTGTAATTCATCTGCCTGGGAAAACGAAAATACATCCACATGTAAACACAACTGACGACTTAGGGAGCGATGGCGAGGAAGTGGAAAAGGAGTACTTAGAACTTGAGTTAAGACGCGTACAATCAAGAAGAGCGAGCATGTTTACAGCTCTTCACGACGCTAAAAAGACGCGTAACACGGCCTTTCCACCCGGAAAAATGACTCGGCTAAAGCCATTATTCCAAACTGATAATTCTGGAGAAACTAGCATCAAGGAGATTGACTCGAAGAGACAAAACTCTGGAAATACTTGGGGTAAATGGCCGGAAACAACACTTCCAAATATGGCAAACACGGAAGAAAATTACTGAACAATAAACGATTCTTCTCGGAGGGCAAAGGTCACATGATGATCGAGAAAATCAAATCTCTTTTTCCATACGCACCATTAAGTAACAGGAAGGCTGGCAAGGTTTTTCTGCACTGATCGATTTTTTGTCATACGTAAATAACATTACAACTATGAGAATTTTCTAAGCTAGGGCTTCAGATGCGTATCGTGTTGTCTACATGAATACTATGCACAAAGTTTTGATATTACACTTATCAGGGTTAAAATGGAATTCTAGCAAGTCGTTTTAAAGGGTAATTATGCCCCAGTAACCATATGATTACAAATCATACTACAATAATATACTACTCGCAACCTTTCGAGATTTCGATGATTTACTTAACCTTTCGAAGATTGTTCTCAGGTGCCCTAAAGATTCAAACGAATTGAACGCAATTCAGTAGGCTTGCAGCACACCCATGGCGGTAGTGTGCCTAGAAAAATTATGTTTTAACTAAAATGTGACCCTATGTATGGTTCCTGATTGTTTGAATAGATCACCTTACCAAGGGATAGAAAAAGAGTATTGAGACTCAAATCAGGTCGTAGGTAGGCGACCAAGTTGCTAAGCAAGATTCAAAATGGCGGCCTCTGAAGCAAATTTCAGCGCATTTCAAAAGATTTTACGCTAATTGAAATCAGGAGGTGGAAATTTGAATGATTTCCCAAAAACATTTTTGATGATGTAAATACAAATGATATGGTCTCCTGAGCATACTTATCTCTTCGCCCAACATCTGCATCTTTAATTGAAGGCAGTGCTTTGCGATGGGTTATTTGTACCACATGCAACCAAATAAATCCGGTTTTATTGCCATATTGCATAAGCATTCACTGCTTTTGTTAGTGAGTCATTATTACAAAATTATCCCCTGTGGCAGAATGAGCGTTCACATGACCTATCAGTTTCCAGAGTTCACGGTCTTGGGTGGCAGCATAAGGAGACAAAATCGAGTTATGCAGTAATGACCAGACCGGTTAGATAGGTTAGATATGTCGCCAAGCCACCTCTTTCACTATTCTCTTCTGCTTCTGTTACCAGCAACCTTCCCTTCGAGACATACTTTTGATACTCCTTATTTACTTCGTATGATGTTCTTATGAAGTTATAGTGTACCTTTGACTAAAAGAAGGACTGGGGCCATACCATTTGTATATAGACGGGTTTGCATACTCATGTGATGCGCGAGACGCGCAGATAACGCGCATAACGTGCATGATATATGTTAGCGTGTAGGATGGATAAAAAAGAGAGCTCCAAATTCCCGCGAGATCCATTGTCTCTCAGAATTTCAATTCCGGGGAGAAGCGTCTTTTTACAGCATTTGAAAATTTAGCAAGATACAGTAATTTGTATGAAAATCATCACTGTGAGAATGGGGTGCAAATCTTATTCCTACCATACAAATCATTGTAATTGGTAAAATTCATCCACAGAAACTACTGCTGAAGCAATTTATATTAGCCTGAAAATCATTTTCAGGCTAATTATTGATTCAGCTTGCACGGTAACCTATTCAGTTAAGATAGTTTTTTAGTTGTTCTTTCAAACTGGTTGAAGCATAGCGCCTTGAGAAAGCCGACTGTGTTTGCACGCGCCATTAAATATGAAGTACGTAATAAAAAGACTAGTACTCTAAAACTATGACGTAGTAAACAGTCTATGACGTTAAGATGCTGAGCTCTGCCACTATAGTCAACCTAATTTTGAAGCCTCTCGTGTCTTTTTTAACTCCGTAAAATCCAATGGTATAGGAAGTAACTGTAATTGAGTAAAACTGTGATGAGAAATGGTCAAATATGGTTTGGTTTTGTGGTAAGAAACTTGATTGTTCTTTTGGTTTGCCAGTTGCAGAAAATGTACGCGTAAAATTCGTGAAATACAACTACTTAAACAAAATTATAATAATTGCTTTACAATCTGTTGATTCCAGCAGTTTTGCACTTGAAAACGGCGGTAGTGCCATATTCTAGCTAGACCACTGTTAACATGACAGAGAGAAAATATCCTACGAAATTTAGCCCTGCAATGAATGCTGTTCTTCAGTAAAAATCACGACCAATTATGTAATTTCAGAGCTGAATCAGCGCTACCTGGCTTTCAAACGACTTGCATTTTAATGAGAAGCTGTCATATGTTAAGGGTTATTATACAAAATAATAAGAGTCAATAGATGTTACATTATTTTACCTCTTGGATATTTTAACACCATAGCTGTATTCAATTTCAGATCCCTTTGATGTTGGCCTCTTTTAGTCACTGCAGGCAGCCGAGATAAAAAGGAAAGGAAAAGGCGGGTTACCCCACCTTGGCAGGTTACCTCAACTACCTGGGGTCCTCCACCTCCATGTAAATAGACCCTAACTC